CTCTCCACTAACCAAACAAATCCCATTTGCATCTTCCCCCAGGGCACAGAGCCCCGGTGTCCTTTAGTGCTGTCACCTAAAGCCACTGTCACCTAACTGCCCTGCACACTCAGGCACTTTGCTGAAATTGTGGGCACCATCACCTTCCAGATTATCCAAAATTATTTGCTCCAAAGCTACAGGTGCTTTGTTAGGGCCCTTTTCTAAAGAAAACCAATGCAACCACTCACTCATCTGCTGAGATCTGCAACAGTCTAGCAACAAATTACAAATTTATTTTTCCCCCCCAACTTTTAACTACCAAGTACTGAGGGAAAAAAAAAAGAAAAAACCCCTCTGAATAGACACCATGAGATTATCACTCTCATGCCAGAAGCCATCAGACATGAGATGCAGAGACTATGAGAAACAGGAAACAGAGCAGCAGGATTTTTCTGGAAAAGCATCCTTTTGATGTATTGCCCAGGCCCAGTGATGCTGCACTGGCACAGATGAATAAAGCCCCTGTGAAGAGAAGGAATCATATGCTCCCCAGCAAGTAAACAAGCATTAGCTGGAAAACAAACCAGGGAAATATTTGCATGGCAAAATCAAGGGATGAAACCTCCATCTCAAGTCGCAGAGGCTGAAAGCATCAGATTTATGATTTATGATTTGTGATTTATGCTCCTGAGATGCAGCTAAGCCTGAGCACCCTGAACTGAGTCAGCACTAAAGGTTTGCTTGCCTTGGCATTCTCCAGGGAACTGAGGGCAAAACAGCAGTGCTGACAAAATCCCAAATGCAGAAGTGTCATTTGACAGCTCAGCAGCACAGGACAGCTCCCAGCTCACAGGGCAGAGCTGCAAGGATTTCATTCCCACTGCATTTTACCTGGGCACACATAAAAATGCAAAAACCTCAAGAGCATGGTGGGAATTAGGGGAGCAGGGATTGCTGAGGACTGGGAGAAGCACAAAACAGGATCAATTTCCACATTCTTACAGCCCAGGAATGCACAGATCCCAACATCCTGTTTCTGACAGAGGCCAATAAAAGACATTTTATTTTATAAGATCAAAAAACTGATGCCGTCATCAGGAACTGCCACAAGAAACAGAGGGATGATGTAGCTCATTACTAGAATTAATTCATTACAAGAAACCCCTGAAATATTGCTGCAAGAGTCGATTTTACCCATTTTGAGTGCACAAGGTCAGGAGGATGTACAACTTCAAGATTTTATTGGCCAAATACCCCCAAAAAACTCCACTGCTTTTCAAGGTAGTGTTTAAATACAGCACAGCTCATGGAGGAAATTCCTCCATCTTTATAAAGGTCAGCAAATCTAAGAGCAGATTCCTTGCAGACAAGAATTCTTCTAATTTTATAATAAATAATGTATAAAAATCTTACCTTTTCTAATTTACTTTTAAGTCTTCTTTCCTCCATCCTTTTCTTCAGAATTTCCACATCCTCTTTATTCCCATTAAGGACAATCACATCTTCCTCTTGAAAGGGAACGCCACACTTCATGAAAAAAAAGGAAGGACAAAATTGCATATTTCTTTTTCTGTCTCCTATAAACAACACTCTGAACGAATTCTTTTATTTGTGTATTTTCTGTTCATGGTTCCCTTGTTTTACTGGCACAAATGTACTTGAAAGTATTCCTAATTAGAATCGACTCAATTTACTGAACCCCACGGCTAAAACCCAAAAGTATTTCTGATTTTTAGTCATGAGTGCAGCTGATTAAGACCTGGATGCCATTCTGCTCTTGAATTTGTCTTTTACTTCAGTGAGATAAGAAACAACAAGTGATGGGAGCAAAGGTGTTATTCCTCCACATGTGGAACAGACAGCAAATTTTTCTCTTCAAATGGTAGACAGGAAAACATGAAGGGGGTTTTTGGTGTGTTTGTTTGTTTTAATTTAACCGTGGGAATAAAAAGGAGGCATAAAAGCAGAATAATTCATTACCCTTGCCTTGCTGCCTCACGGGATTGTATCACAGAGACCATACCCTTATCTGATTTATCAAACACTCCCAAGTTTCCAACTACTTTCAGAAATTAATCTGGATAATGGCTGTAATGTGCTCTGTGTACCTCCACATTTGTTTCATGGTTGAAGGCACAGATGTTTTCCTGTGCACATTTGCAATCATTTGATGTACCAGCCCATTGACCATGATGTTTTCTTGTCTAAGATCTCAATTTGCTTTTTTTTTTTCTTTATTTGTTTTGGTTTTGGGTGGTTTTTGTTGTTGTTTTTGGGTTGTTTGGTTTGTTTTGTTTTTTATTTGGTTGGTTTTGGGTTTTTTTTTGTTATTTTGTTAAATGCAGAAGCTTCCTATTAATCTGCAAGATTAATTTATAATCTGGCCTCTGCCATTACTCTTCTTTTTTTTAAACAAAGGTTTAGCAAGGTTACTCCTGTATTTGCAGTGGAAATTAAATAAATGAAAGGACATATGGGCAGGACTTTGCTCAAGTGCTAAGCACAGCTTCAGAAAGGAACCTGAGATTGAGAGGAGAAACAGGGGTTGGAGAAGGCACAGCAGGCAGGAAGAGTGTAAATCACACCCAAGAAATGGGGGAGTAACCCATATTTTTCCATTTCTACTCAATCAGAGATCCCAGCCTGGTGTGACCTCACACTTGGGAGTGAGAAGGCTCCAAAATCAAGAATTTCAGTCTCCATTCTGAGGCAGGAGCTGACTTAGTTCTAAAGCAGCCCCACAGATGCATTTCCAGAAGCCCCACAATTTCTTTTCTAGGGTGGTTCCTAATACAGCATTTTTCAAACTTATTTTGTCAGCAGATGTTGCATTTTAGAAGAGCAAGCAAATCCAGGTTCCCATCTGGAAAACACAGGCAGAATTGTTCAAAACTGAGAAGTATTTACAAGAACCAAGGAAATGAAGACAGTGTTCTTTCCATTCCCCGAAAAAAAATTTTTTGCCATGACAACATGGGATTATGTCAGAGACTATACCCTTCCAAACATCTTAATGAGATAAAAAGCAGAAAGAAGTTTCAGTTCTGCAAATTCAGATGTTTCTTCCTTCAGATTAATTAAGGTCTTGGGGAAGATGTTTGTTTTATGATATCACAGGGTCTCCTCTGCTGTACCTTGTTTCTTGGGCCTTTAAATATAGATGAAGGTACCTGCTGTAGTTCTTAGCACCTTGAGTAGAGGACATTCCTAAATGACATCGTTTTTATCTTTCTTAAAGTATAAAATACAGGATTTTTAAAGTAGTAATGAACTCTTAATTTGACTTCCTGAATTCTAGAGTTTACAGTTTCAGCTGCCTAAGACAAGAGTTGTACATTATTTCCTGCTGTAAACTACAAGAACACATTTATTTCTTTTTATGGCATCTAAAATGTAGTTCTGTCCAGTTTATTTGTATTACATTAAGATTCCAGTCTTAATGTAATACAAATAAACAACAGGCAAATATGTTTTCATATCTAAATATGTACGCCAGTGTTACAGTCTGAAGGCTCTTTCTCACATTTTAACAGTGAATTCCTGCAGTTCTCCTGAACCATTACCAGGAAATGCACAATTGCCAACAGGATATGAGACATGGATGGCCACAATCTGAGTGTCCCTCTTCAAACAGGGACATTTAGGAGGAGGATTAAACACCCATCTTACTGTTCATCTCCCAGCCACACAAGCTCATGTATTCAAGATTATCCTTGCTTGCCACAGTTAAGTAAAACTCGTTTTAAGAGAGAATTTTCCAGAGGTTTAGCCATTAAAAGTTCAGGAGTGCAAGATTTGCTGAACATGTTTTTTCACACTGTCAGCCAACCCAGACATGCAATGGGTCAGGGAGTAAAGGACAACTTGGGAGCAGTGGAAATTCCCCACCTAGTGATTCACAGAATGTGAACTTCCACTCAGGAGCTGCAGCATCTACTTCCAAACCAGTACAAGAAAAAGCCTCAATTCACAGAGTTTCTCTTAAAATCAGTGATAATTTTGTACCTGTCACACCTGCAGCTGCCTTAACTGACTTTGAGATTTTCTCTGTTTATTTCTGACCAACATGGTATTTTTATCAGGATGTTTCCTCCTAATCCCAGCACATTTAAGCTGAACTTTCCACGTATTAAAGAACCTTTAACAGGCTGTAACAGCAAACACTGTGTGTGTGAAGGATGGTTCAATCCGCTCCACAGCGGGTACTGTAAACTAAAGCACTTTTCTGGCACCAGAGAACATAGGGTTAACACCTCCTTGTGCATTTCTGCCGGGGGTTCATTTCACACACGCTTTTATAATTTTAAATTCTGGCGTCTGCCCTTGTTTGTTTGCTTATCTAAAAGCTGGAGTTTGAAGGGCTGGGGTCTAACAGAATTGTGGTTTCTTTATCTCAGGGCTCCAAACACGGCACACGGCTCCACCACACGCATTCATCACACACACCTCGCTTACTGCTACAAGACTTCCATTCTGTTTACAGCTGTGATTTATTGCTATTATTATGTCCTTCTGTTTCCTATCCATTGCCAGTATGTTTTTCTAGCCTTCTGCATCAGCTCTTGTTTTCCTGGCCCAGCAGGGCTGGTCCTTTTCTTACAGAAGCATTCAGACACAGCAGCCACTCTGAAACCTCTTCTTTATCTCCGTACCCACCAGGGCCAGACCCTGTTTTGCAGAAATGCCAGCAGTTCCATTCAAACCCTTTTTTTCTTATCTCCTCGGCCTACTCAGGGCTTGATGCCCGTTGTGCAGAGGTGGTTACATTTATAACAGGCACTCACATTTAATTATTTTGCTAACTTACGCCTCAATTCTTCCTAACTTCCGCTAAGCTGCTTCTCCCGAGTGAGCTCTGCGCCTTAAGCAGATCTCTCATTTATTCTCTTTTCAGCCACGGGAAATGCCCGGCAGCAGCAATTCCCTGCTGGAACTGGAAAGTTTCGGCAGGCGAACAGTTAAGGGCAGGGGTGGAGGAGGAGGAGGAGGAAGAGGAGGGGGCAGGTCCCAGTGCTCCCAGTGCTCCAGCGCAGCTCGGGGGCTCGGCTGAGGCGTGAGGGGACACAGCGCTGCTGCTCCTCGCCAATACCCCCTGACACCCCCGGCTGCCGAAACCTCGGCAGGGAAGGCAGGAGCGGCATTCCCGGGACAGCAATGCGGGCGGGATGCGGGGCTCCCGTTAATGGTTAACGGCGGCGGCAGCGCCTCCGGCCCCGCTGAAGGACAATGAGCCCCGCGCTCGGCTCCGCTCGCCCTCCCCGCGCCGCCGAGCCCCGGCCGGCCCTGCACCAGGTAAGGCGGCAGCGCTCACACGCAGCTGCTTGCTTCTTTGGTCATTTTGCTGAGGAAACACGCAAATCTGCACTCAGGTTAATTTTTTCCCCCCATTCTTTGGATGGAGGTCATTAGTAGTAATTGTGTTATAAAAATCACAGCTGCCATACCCCGGCTGGGTCTGCACCAGGTAAGGCTGCATCGCTCATATCGCAGCACGCAGCTGCTTGCTTTCTGGTCATTTTGCTGAGGAAACACGCAAATCTGCACTCAGGTTAATTTTTTCCCCCTTCTTTTCGTTCTGATGGATGTACAGAAGGATGGAGGTCATTAGTACTAATTTTGTTACAAAAATCATAGCTGCCGAGCCCCGGCCGGCTCTGCACCAGGTAAGGCTGCAGCAGCGCTCACACCGCAGCACGCAGCGGCTTGTTCTTTTGGTCATTTTGCTGAGGAAACACGCAAATCTGCACTCAGGTTAATTTTTTTCCCCCTTCTTTGGATGGAGGTCATTAGTAGTAATTGTATTATAAAAATCAGCTGCCGTGCCCTGGCTGGGTCTGCACCAGGTAAGGCTGCAGCGCTCACATCGCAGCACGCAGCTGCTTGCTCTTTTGGTCATTTTACTGAGAAAACACGCAAATTGCAGTCACGTTAATTTTTTTTCTTCCTTCTTTATATTGTGACGGATGCAGAAGGATGGAGGTCATTAATTGGTACTAATTGTCTTATAAAATCACAGCTGCCGTGCCCTGGCTGAGCCTGTACCAGGTAAGGCTGCCTCGCTCACATCACAGCATGCAGGTTCTTGCTTTTTCCTTATCCCAACTGGTCATTTTGCTGACAAAACACGCAAACTGCAGTCACGTTAATTTTTTTTCCTCCTTCTTTACGTTGTGATGGATGTACAGAAGGATGGAGGTCATTAGTATTAATTATCTTATAAAAATCACAGCTGCCGTCCCCCGGCTGAGCCTGTACCAGGTAAGGCTGCCTCGCTCACATCACAGCGTGCAGGTTCTTGCTTTTTTGGTCATTTTGCTGAGGAAACACGCAAATCTGCAGTCAGGTTAATTTTTCCCCCCCTTCTTTGGATGGAGGTCATTAGTACTAATTTTGTTATAAAAATCACAGCTGCCGTGCCCTGGCTGGGTCTGCACCAGGTAAGGCTGCAGCGCTCACACCGCAGCACGCAGGTTCCTCCTTTTTCCTTATGCCAGCTGGTCATTTTATGAGAAAACACACAAATCTGCACTCAGGTTAATTTTCCCCCTCTTCTTTACGTTCTGATGGACGTCAGAAGGATGGAGGTCATTAGTACTAATTATCTTATAAAAATCACAACTTATTTTTTTACAGCTCTAGAATTTAAGAGTTTAAATAGCTTTCATTGTTTTTGTTTTAAATTACTATGAGCAAAGATGAACGTTAAAACTTCATAAATTTGCTGTATATGCAAATTACGCAGTGTTTTTAAATAATGATTTAAATAACTGGGTTTGGTGGCGAAATGTTTTTACTCAATGCATATCAAAGTCCAGAAGCAGACTCCATGTCCTGACCCCCTTTTAAACAAAATACAAGGCAATGGAAAAAGCATTTAAAAGGACTGATTTTAACATTTTTAAAGGATTGAATTAGTCTTCTCTTGTTTATAAAATGTCTACACTAATGCCTGCATAAATACCTTTCAAACAGAAAAAATCAGCTATAAAAAGTTGAAATAAGTATTTAATGCTTTTCCAGCATTTCATTAGAAGACGAAGCATTCCCAAATAATTTGTCTCACTAAATTATGAGGTCATAAGAAGCAAACTAGATCTAAACTTTAATATTAGGCAAAAGCAAAGAGCACAGAGAAAACAGAACGTTTCGAGGTGCAGTGGTGCAGTCCTAAATGCAATGGCAGGAGAAGCAGCAGAAAGCAAAAGGAGTTGTTACTGCACAACACAGTGTGTGCTAATGGGGTCCCCATGAGCTGAGCTGACTTTCACAGGCTTTTTCCAGGCATCATCATCATCATTCCCCTTTCCTCTAGAGTTTACTTTGTTAATTGAGATGGAGCATCTTAGGCTTACAACAATTTTCTGTTAAGCAATGTCCTTAAAAGCATCCACAGAGGTGCTTGAAAATCCCTGCCTTTTTTTTTCTTTCCTTTTTTCTTTCCCAGAATGCCACACGCTACTCACAGGAGTTTTAAAAATTCATACAACTTCATCCTCCAGACTTAGAAAACCTGTGCATAACGTACGAAATGCTGAGTTTCAGAGACATTGTGCTAACAGAAAATACTTGTCATGGCACTCTTACATAATAAAACTCAAGGGCAAGACAGTCCCAGCAGGATCATTATGGACATTCCCAATGGGATCTTTTGCTCCTCAAGGGCAGCAGGAAATTTGGGATAATGATCTTTCCAGCAGAAGGGGCTGAGAGGATCCTGTTAAACAACAGATTTCATATCCAGTGGCACTGACAGCTGCAATTCCAGCTCTAAATCTGGTACCAAAAAGCTTTCATTCCATAATGTCCTCATGAGGCTGAAAGATGTCAAATTCTGTTCTTGCAGTTCCCCATAAACATGTTAACACTGGAGAGGAATTGCTGCCTCTTACCTGATTATGGGGTGTTTGTGTACTTTTATGCTGCCATAAAAATACAATTTCTAGATGTCACGCAGTCCAGTAGGAAAAAATCCATGGTAAGCACTTAACAGCCTGAAACAGCCCTAGAAGCTATTACTTGAAGGGTAATAAAAATTCAGGTGTATGAAACAAGCAGCTTACAGCTTGGCTCCCTAGAATTACACTTTGCAACCTGTCCAAAATGTATTTAAAGAAAAAAACCTGCCAAGCACCCTCATTCTGGACAGGTTCAGAGAATATTCCAGGTTGGAAGGGACCCACAAGGATCACTGAGTTCAACCCCCAGGTGAATGATCTGTACAGGGACTGAACCCCCAATCTGGGTGCTAAGATGTTTTATATTTAATCAGGTATAAAATTCTAAATATGTTTTACAGCTGCCTGCTGTTTTTAGTGTAATTCTTATATTCAGAATGAACCTTCCCTGTGACACGGCAGAGATCTCGTGATGCTCACTAATTCAGAGGAATCTCAATGTTCCTCCTGCCAATAATTCCCTCAGAATAAAGAGTTTGTCCAAGTCCAGCTCTGTTAGAACCCTAGTTGCTAAGAATTTTAAACTTTCTGTACTATCAGACACTAACCCCCAAGAGAACACTACATTTAACCTGAAGCCATAAAGAAAGCTTCCAAAATTAAATAACAGAACTGAGATTCTAAGTGTGTAGTTTGAAGTGTGTAATCTCACATAGTAGAAAACTATAAATTTAAAGTTTTAGAATATGGTAATATATATATATAAAGCAAAATAGAAGTTTTAGAGCAGAAGCTAGTCCTTCTTCTTTACAAGTTTAAGTAGTAATGTGTAATTAGGTTAATTAGGGCTCCACAGAAATCAGTGTTCCCCCAATTCCAGCCCCTGGGTATGTGCACCATGGTCCTCACTGAAACCCTTCTGGGCTCTGGCACAGGAGGGATTTAATTTCATTTTTAATGCAGAAATCCTGCTTTTTCACCTTGCAGTGGCACCCCTGCTCTCCTGCTTTCTGCACAGCACCCAAAGGCTGACAGGGACTTGATTTGCTGCAGCTTTTTGCTCAGATGGATGGAAGGCTCCCACCAAGGCTGTTTACCCACTAAATGGATCCCTGAGGAGCTGCAGGGCGAGAAGGTTCTCCTGGGAGCCGATTTCCTCCTGTTTTTCTTTGAGCTGCCTGAAGAACATCCCAGGGAGATGGAGGAGCCCTGCACCTAAGAGCCAGCTCTGCTTTCTGCTCAGTGGGAAGGAGGCACCATTCCAGCATGAAATCCAGTGCAAACCAGTAAGGACCAGAAGAGAAATACATTCCTTCCCAACAGACTAATGAGATCTTAAAAATGTGGGAATATGGAGGATCCCTTCCCCTCAGTTCAATTTGTTTCTTAATGCTTTTTGAATTTTATGTCTCGTTGCTGCTTTAACTACAATGCTCTCTTTATTTGCAAGCTTTTAAGGGAGATACTGATTTTTTTTTATTAAAAAGAAGTATTTTCCACTTCTTTCTAATGAAAACCTTGAGCCTTCTAACCACAGCAGCATTCTTCTAATGAAAGTAGCTCTATAAAAATCTGTTTTTCTCTGTTTCTATGTAAAGCTAAATACTTCATGATTTTGACAGCTGCAAAATATAAATATTTCAAAGTGAAATGCAGATTCTGTTTTAAAAAATAATTGAATGAAAGAACAGAAAATTAATTACCTTCAAAATAAAATTTAAATTCTTAAAAATGTAACTGTTAAGCTTAATGGCAGTTGATGCACCTCCTCCTTGGTATTTTTTCCTAGAATTTTGATACCAAGTGCTTCAAGGATAAAGACTTCATGTAATTGCTGTGGGATTCACACTGCTGCACTCTCATTCTTCTGACTGTTCAACAAGGCAAAGGTAAGGAAAAGACCACAATGGAAAAACTCCTGTGCTAATACTGCTGTAAATTGGTTATCTCAGAATGCCAGTACTGGCAGTTGTGTCCTTATCTCAGGGTATGCACAAATAGCAAAAATAAGAAATTAGTTTTGTCCCCTTGTTCAGTTTTACAAAGCTCAAATACAAAGATGCCAGAGGAAAAAAAATAATCTCAGAGTCAGAAACATTAGCTGACTTTATAAGGATAAAACCCAGTGTATTTCGTGGATTACATTTTAGCCTCTTCCTTCTGTTTATTTAATAAATTTTCTGTTGATTTAATTTACTGAATTCTGATCCTCTGGCAGAACTTCAAGTTTCCCAGGCCTTGAGGAAATCTCAGCAGCAGCTGCTCCTGAGCACTCAGAGCTCACTTCTTCCCTGGGCTCACCTCTGAGCTCAGGCATCTCCCACCTGAGGGGCTGAGACCCCCTGCTCAAGCAGTGAAGAATCCAAAGCCATTTTGGGTCCTTTTGTATCATTCTGAGATGATTTTGTGCTGGAAAGACAAAATTGCTGCCTCGTGGCTCTGCATTCCCAGGGCTGCTGCACTCAGTGTGGGCACACACAGTTCCTCCTGGCAGTAATCCCAACATTTATAAATGCAGCACTAACAGGGCATCTATTTAAAAAATAAACAGAAAGTTTCTTTCCCTCTATCTCACTTTTCCTTTCAGATGATCTGAATGTTTAACTGGACTATGATAAGAAGACAGGATCTGGAAGTAAAAGATGAACCCACTTCATGCAAAGAAATCAAGATTTTTAGTGTGTGTTGCTGTCTGTATGTTCATCTACACCTTCATTTACCTCAAGGTTCCACTTTATGACGAGTCAGATGAGCAAAAATTCCGTGTCAAAAGAGCAGAGTGTGGTTTTTACCCAGATGAACTTTGCTCTGCTCTTTTTGTGGGGAAACCTGCAGCGTTTAGAATTGGAAACTTTTGTCAGAAGTCCTACCAGCCCAAAGCCCTCAGCTGCATTCAGACTTCCTGCAGCTGCTCCACAGTCCTGAAGACTTTGCATTTTATCACCACACCACTGTCAGAGGAAGAAGGAAATTTCTCCTTGGCATACATTATTACAATTCACAAGGAGCTGGAAATGTTTGTGAGGCTGCTAAGAGCTATTTATATGCCTCAGAATATTTACTGCATCCACATTGATGAAAAGTCACCCAGAGATTATAAAACTGCTGTACAGAACATCGTTAACTGCTTTGAAAATGTTTTTATTTCCTCCAAAAGAGAACACGTTGTTTATGCAGGGTTTTCAAGATTACAAGCTGATATTAATTGCATGAGAGACCTCGTGAACTCCAAAGTTCAGTGGAATTATGTTATTAATCTTTGTGGTCAGGATTACCCCTTGAAAACAAATAAAGAAATCATTGAATACATCAAAAGTAAATGGAATGGTAAGAACATCACCCCTGGGATCGTGCAGCCCCTGCACGTGAAGCACAGGACAGAGGTCAGCTACAGGGAGTACGTGCACTCTGGAGTGCCCTACGTGTACCCAGCCAAGGTCAGGAAAGCTCAGCCCCCACACAACCTGACCATCTATTTTGGCAGTGCCTACTACATCCTCAGCAAGGCCTTTGTGGAGTTCACCCTGAGCGATGCCCGGGCTAAAGCTCTGCTGGAGTGGTCCAGGGACACCTACAGCCCTGATGAGCACTACTGGGTCACCCTCAATCGTTTACCTGGTAAGAGTTTGGCATTTCTGCCACGGATAAGCCCAGCAGGGCAGGGAGAGGCTGCGAGCTCGGAGATGAACAGCTCTGAACTGCAGAAATAAAAGTCATTTCTTTTGCTGCTGCCCTTTAAAAAGTCACATCTGGTGGCTGAGAAACAAAGCTTGATTGCAGGAAATTACCACTTCAGTGCAGACCAGGAGATGGAAAAATTCTGGTTAAAAAGAAGTTTTTTGTTGCATGAAAGCTTTTGCTCTGAAGAAATTTTAAAAAGTGATACTGCGAATATCTGTTCTTATGACATAAATAGCTGCAAATAATGTGACTGCAGTTATTAAGTGTCCAACAGTGAAAATTTTCCCTGTAATAAGTAGAAAAGAATCTTATCAGAGCCTTTTGTTTTTAAAGATGCTCCAGGGGCTACACCCAATGCAGGCTGGCAAGGAGACCTGAGAGCCATTAAATGGAAAGATCAAGAAGGGCTCTCACACAAAGGCTGCAAAGGTAACGTGAATTTTGATAATGAACTTAAATTTGATTCACTGGTGAGCATTAATTGGTGATTGCATATTATTTAAACCAGCTATTAAATGTGCCTCAGTGGTCATATATAATTTTGGAAGTATTAAATAAAACAAGGCACCCTATAAATTACTGCACTATATCCAACTGAAGAGATTTTGAGATATGTGTTATATTAATTTATTAGTTACATATTTGATATATTTTGAGATGAGCACAGTATCCACACACTGACAACCCTTTTTTCAGCCCCTAATTACCAATGCACTAATTTGTCTGATCAGTTCTCAGGGGAGGGGCTTTACCTGACAAGGTACATCAGCATTGGCTTAAATCCCTTCAATTTGAACAACAATAGGAAAGAATAGTGCTGGCCACATGGCAAGCCTGCAGAAATAATTAAAATCCCCAAGTGGGCAGGCTGAGCCCGGGTGTGATTGAGCAGGGAATCCCAGCAGGAGCTCAGAACATCTGATGCCCAACTACAAGATTTTATTAAGCAGAGCAACATGGCAGGGAAGCAGCTGGAGGTAACAAACACCTATTTATGTAAAATATAAACATTTTAAATGTCTTTATAATATTGTGGCATTTTCCTCCAGCTTGATTTCTATGCAGCAATCCAAAGTGAAAAACTTGTTTTTTTAAAAAACGCTTTTGTTCATCTTCCCGCTGCTGCCACGCCTCTCCAATTTATCTCTGCAGGTCATTACGTCAGAGACATCTGCATTTATGGCCTGGGGGATCTGCAGTGGATCATCGAGTCCCCCCATCTGTTTGCCAACAAGTTCGAGGCTGCCAGGGACCCGCTGGGGCTGCAGTGCCTGGAGCGGCGGCTGCGGCTCAAGGCGCTGCGCCAGGCTCGCGTGCCCATCGAGCAGCACTGGCGCCTGCAGGAGCACAGCCACTTCAACATGCAGCTGGACGTGTGAGCTCAGCCCCTGCCCTGCAGCTGGGCAGCAGCCTGGCAGGAGCAGCAGGACATGGGGGTGTTTGCAGGCTCGGCTTCGCTCTGCGCGCGAGGGGAAAGCGCGGTCCTGCAAACCCTGAATTTTTATTTATTCCGGTGGTAATGGGTTCATTCCCAAAAAATGTCTGAATTCAAGGGGAGAAGTTCATCATCCATCAAGTGACTTATTTAGCTGGAAAGTCAATATTCCTCATGTCCACAGCCAAAGCATGAAAATAATAAAATGGGAGCAGTGACTGAACGAAGATAAAATATGCAGAAATTACAAATTAAAGTCATGGCCAGTGAATGTCTCATGAAGTGTTTTGAATAATTGAGTTGATGCTAAAATTTCAGAGCTTGTACATAAGTGACAACCAGTTTATGACACAGCCCATGCCACTGGGGGTGAGGGGTTGTTTTTGTTTCCCGTGGCCAGCCACATCCCTAATTTCATTTTGTAGCATGGCAACATCACTGCTGCCCTTCCCAGGCTTTGCTCCTAATAACAGAAGGATCCTGGAACACATATTTATCTCCAAGTCTCTGTTCTGAGTCGCTGCAGGAGTTTAGGGCAAGGAGACAGGGAAGATTTGAGGCTCAGTTTTCCTGTAATCTGAGCAAAAAGCCATTTTTCAATCCCTGACTGAGAGAAGCAAAGAGCCTGCAGCAAGTGCAGTAACACCTGGACAACTCGATTAAAAACTGCAGATTATAAATAGAAATTAAATAAATAAAAGGAAATTAATTTTAAAATGAGCAATTTCAATGCAAGCTTCAGTATGCACCCTAAACATCCCTGAGTTTTTACAAGAAAATTTGCTACAGATTGAGCCTATTCCCGAAAAAATCAAATGACCCAAAACCAGGACACGAAAGTTCCTTGTTCCAAACTTATTCCCAGGTTGCTGGAACTTTCCTCCTCATTTTCCCACAAATGTTTATTGGAAACATCATTTCTTGCAAATGAACTTTAACCTGAAGAAAGGCCATCTGCTCCCTGTTTATTTACAAACTCAACCCAAAGGCCTGTGCTCGGTTTCATGGATAATCCAGGATTTATCCTGTGGCTAAATATTGCTGGAGATCCTTTTTTTATGGAGGGAAATAAAAGCTAAAAAAGAAAAGGAAAATAAAAGCCAGGCACATGTTCATGATGAGCTTGTTGAGAGTCTCTCTCCAAACCATTACTGAAGCTAATGGGTGTCTGGCAAGTACTAATCACAGCAATATTCATAATTAATTTCTCTCCAGTCCACTGTGGGGCACTGCCAGCATTTATCCACTCCATGATGACTTTTAAAAGGGGAATGGAAGGTTCCTTATTGCCATCACTGCAGCAAATCCAGTCTCCAGCTTCCAGCCCTGGCACCACCACGCAGAACAGTTGTTGTACATCATTTCCAAATTGAATTAAAATGAAAAGTTCAATAGGCAGGCACTGTATATCATGGGCTCCTTTTGCAGAAATTGAATCAGGAGAAAAACCTGCACAAAAAGGCCTCTGAAAATACAATTTTGGTATGACTTGAGCCATGTCAGCCTAGGATATCTTTGCAGCATGACTTTCTTTGCTTAAAGGATTTTGGATTTGAAACAAAATTTTAGGAAAATCATCATTAAACCATTCTCAAGTAATAAACAGTATTCAACTCAATACTGTGATTACCATATCACCTTGAAACACACATGAAAAGCCCTCATGAATTCTGTGTTATTATGTTAAAGAGTTGATCAATCACAACTTTCAGACCTCAGCAAATATTTGCTGATTTGGTGCCCTAAGAGCAGAAAGTGCCAAAGTGGCCCTGGAGCCAGTGCTGCACACCCAGCTCTGGATCTGCCAGCCACAGGCATAAAATCTGCTTCAGAAAGCTCCATATCTAAATGAAACCTGGGGTTGAGTGCTTGATATGGCACAGAGCTGCACAGTTAGGGCACTGGTTCAAGTCTGTGTTTACTGACTCTGAAAACAGGTCCAAAATAAACTTTGAAGTGATCCAAGAAAGTACATTTTAAATGTAATCTTGTCCTTAACTTTCAAAGTGACCCCAGAAGGATTTCCAGCACCAATCCCATAACCTCTGTCCTGGCCCCACACACTCCTAGGATATTTTACATCCATAGGAACTTCTCAGAGAGCTTCCAAATTAAAGCTTCATTTAAATGCTGCTAATTAGTGCTTTGGACATAAACAAATATAAATACCACAAAGCACAGCAACCTCTTCCCTCTGCTCCTGTTCAGAAGGGTTTTACTCCCCTTCTTGGTTCTGAAGGAGAAGAGCATCAGAACACACCCAAAATCTGCCAAATTTGATCTGACCTTACTTAATGTGTTTTTCAGCTGGTCACCATTGTCTTTGTGCATCAAAACCCAGGCATGAGGGGATGAGAGATTAAATATTATATCCATTTCATTATTTCTAAAAGAATCTTTCTGAATATTATGACGAATTTCCAGCTGCATGCTAAATACTCATTACTGAAAAAAAAGCCAGGGAAAAATAGGTGAGATTCATTTGGTTTTTATATAATTATCAGACTGGCCAAACCATCTTATTCCTGCATTTTATGCTCTGGTTACACCCATCCATCAACAAAAATTTAGATGCAAACAAAAAAACCTCATTAAAAATAAATGATTGTCTGCCAAGAGGAAACAAAGCCATTAGGACAGAACAAAATGAGCACTGAAAGCAGCAACATGAGATTAAACCTTACAATATTCAACAATTTACCAAGACAAAAGTGTTTCCTTTCCAGGTCTTGTTTAATGTAAATATACTCCATGTTTTATCCAATATCAGGGTGTTCAGAGAAATTAAATAACTGCCCAAGTGGGGCAACTCCCACCACAAATCTTGCTGATAATGAAAGTAGTGATAGGAAAAAAGGGTATTTGTTCATTTTATCATTGTCCTTAGCTATAAAAAAGCCTGTACAATGAGATCAGCTATGTGAAATTGTCAGAATTTTCTACAATAATTTATAGAACTGCTGAGAATTCTACAAAGTTGGCCCCACCCAAAAATAAAGAAAAAAGAAATGCCCAATGTCCTTCAAAAATACAAAACATAACCTGAACTTGCAACCAGTTTAACCATAGACAGGTACTGATAAAACAAGCCATGTGCATTCAGGAAGAAAAAATTACTAGTCAAACAAAACCCCAAAACCAAACCAACACCCTTCAAAAAACTGAAATTAGTAGCAAATATTGGGGAAAAAAAAGCAGTTACTGCCAAATCACACTCTGAGAACAAAAATACTCATTTTTATAATTATTTAGAATATTTTTTTAAATTAAAAAGCCATTAAGAAATACTTGAGGCCATCACAGAACAGAACTTGCACAAGTTCAGTTTCAATTTGCATGCTGAGATTAAAACCTCCCTTTTTAGAGCAGTGAATGGAACTGTATAAACACACACACACAGCCCAGCTGCTTCCACAGCTGGCAAAACTCACCTTGTGACAAACTTCTGCTTTAATTTCCTTGAGAGCACGCTCAGAGAACACACAGCCACAGTTTCTCAGGAAGCAAAACCTTCCAAGAAAAAACACACAATAATTTTAACAAATCTAGGAGAGCTCTGTGCAGTGCTGGCAGGTCACAGCCCACCTGCTTTACAAGTTCTTGCACCTAATCAAACTATCAGCATAGTTAAGTGGCTAATTAATTTATTATTAATTTGCACAATGCAAAAAATGAATGAAAAGTATTGGCTATATTAAACCACAACAGGTACTTTGGTTTTTTATCTTGAGTATCTCCTGGCTAATCCCTCTCTGGAGGAAGAAATTCTTTGCAGCCACTAAGCTGTGAACTCCTCCTCTTCTCATCCCTCAGGTGACAAAGAAGTTGCTGCTCTGCCCAAACCAGGCTGTGAGGAAATCCCCTGCCCCAGAGCAGTAAAATACAGATTTACTGAGGGTTGGGACAGAGAGTCCATCTCCAGTCTGTCCCAACACAGGGAGAGACAGAAGGTGAGGAAAGGCTGGCAGAGCTGGGGTTGTTCACTGGGCAGGAGCAGCTTTGGGGGGAGCTCAGTGTGGCCCTGCAGGAGCTGCAGGAAAGAGGGAGAGAGAGTTTGGACAGGGATGGAGGGACAGCACACAGGGAATGGCTCCAAACTGCCAGAGCGCAGGGATGGGTGCGATTCTGGGGAGTAATATTCTTGCCCAGAGCAGCTGGGGCTGCCCCTGGATCCCTGGCAGTGCCCACGGCCAGGTGGGATGAAGCCTGGAGCCCCCTGGGACCGTGTCCTTGCCCATGGCAGGGGTGGCACTGGAGGAGCTTTAAGGTCCCTCCCAACCCAAATCAAGCCATGATTCCAACTGCTTCATGTGACTCCAAGGGAGGTCACACCCCATCTCCTGTGCTTCACCCCCCAAACAACCTTTAGGCATTTTTTCCCTGCCAACATTTCCCCCTACTCCTTCATTACACATCTCAATTTATACAGGAAAAGGCTAACTTTTATCTTTCCTCTTAAATATACCACAAAAGGACACCCAGAAGCCTCTTGAACTCTGAAAGTTCCAGCTTAAAAGCTGACAGCCAGACAGATACTCCCCCCAAGGCCTGGGTTAGCCATGATTTCCAGCTCCCAGGCAGTTTCCCTGCTGTGGGCAGTGCAGCCCCAGCCCTGACCTGTGCCTGCCGTTCATCTCCAGCCCCACCACGGGGCAGATGAAGCGTGCAGCCTGCACGTCATCATACTTGTCCCCCTTGATGCTCTCCTTGTCCCCACACCAGGCTGGGTTGTCCACCAGCTGCAGCTCTGTCACGTTCTGCAAAGGAAAAACACAAACCTGCATCAGGAGAGGCCCCAGGGCAGGAGGGCACTGGGCACTGCTGAGGGCACAGCTCCAGTGCAGCTCTGGGCCCCCCAGTTTAGGAAGGACATGGAGGGGATGGAAAGTGTCCAGAGGGAACACAAACCCTGTGAGGAGCCCCTGAGGGAGCTGGGGGTGCTCCCCTGGAGAAAAGGAGACTCAGGGGTGCCCTCATGGCTCTGCACAGCTCCTGGAAGGTGCCTGTGCTCAGCTGGGCTGGGCTCTGTCTCTGGGCACTGACACAGCCAGAGCACACAGCCCCGAGCTGAGCCAAGGGGAATTCAGGCTGGATATCAGGAAAAGGTTCTTTATAGAAAGTTCTGGGATGTTCTGCCCAGGAGGTGGTGCAGTCCCACCCCTGGGTGTGTTTAACAAAGCCTGGATGTGGCACTGGGGTCAGGCTCTGGCTGGGCTGGACTCTGTGATCTGGAAGTTTCTCCCAGCCCAGTGATTCCATGAATTCTGTGACACCTTAAGCTT